AAGCATTTTCATGTTTGGGGTTGCCCAGCTGAGGCAAGGCCTTACAAGCCACATGAGAAAAAGTTAGACCCTAAAACAGTGAGCAGCTATTTTGTTGGTTATTCGGAGCGATCTAGGGGTTACAAGTTTTATGATCCCAAATTAAAGATAATATTTGAGACGGGAACTGCAATGTTCTTTGAGGATATTGAATTTGGGGGGAGAAATCAGGTTAGAGACTTTGTCTTTAAGGAGGAATCAGACCATACTACTCTTGCTGAAGAGGAATTGGTTCATATTTCTATAATTGCTTTTGATAATGATCAGGATTTCACTTCTGTCATTGATCAAGTTGCTAATTCAGAACAAGACATTGTTAGTCAACCCCTTGAGAAACAAATTCAACAAGCTCAAGAACAAGTGCTTTTGCGGCGATCCACTGGGGAAAGAAGAAATGCTATTTCAGATGATTATATTGTATTTCTTCAGGAACATGAGGAAAATAATAGTATGATGGAAGATGATCCTATCAACTTTCATCAAGCTATACAAAGTTCCAATTCAGAAAAATGGATTGAAGCAATGAATGAGGAGTATAACTCTATGCAAGACAATAAAGTTTGGGAACTTGTCCCATTGCCAGAAGGAAAGAAATCCATAGGTTGCAAATGGATTTTTAAAACCAAACGGGATTCAAAGGGTAATGTGGAGAGGTATAAAGCTCGCCTTGTAGCTAAAGGCTATACTCAAAAAGAAGGGATTGACTATAAAGAGACATTCTCTCCGGTTTCAACGAATGACTCTTTTAGAACAATCATGGCACTTGTTGCTCATTATGATATGGAGCTTCATCAAATGGATGTTAAGACTGCATTTCTCAATGGAGACATTGATGAAATGGTCTATATGGTGCAACCAGAAAACTTTGTGTCAGGAGATCCAAAGAATATGGTTTGCAAACTGACAAAATCTATTTATGGGCTCAAACAAGCTTCCCGTCAATGGTATCACAAATTTCATCAAGTGATTCTATCATTTTGTTTTGAAATGAATGCAGTTGATGATTGTGTGTATCATAAATTTAGTGGGAGAAAGCATATTTTTCTGATTTTGTATGTGGACGACATACTGCTTGCCACAAATGATATAGGCATGTTGCACGAAACCAAGAGATTTCTATCAATTAATTTCGAGATGAAAGATCTTGGTGATGCCTCATTTGTTTTAGGAATTCAGATTCACCGAGATCGTTCTCAGTGTATTCTTGGATTATCACAAAGAAGCTATATTGATAAAGTACTTAAAAGATTTGGCATGCAGAATTGTAGACCAATTGACACCCCTGTCGCTAAAGGAGACAAGTTCAGTCTCAATCAGTGCCCAAAAGGAAACCTTGAGATTCAAGAAATGCAAAAGATTCCCTATTCTTCAGCTGTAGGGAGTCTAATGTATGCTCAAGTTTGTACACGGCCAGATATTGCGTACATTGTTGGAGTTTTAGGCAGATACTTAAGCAATCCAGGAATGGATCATTGGAAAGCAGCCAAAAGGGTTATGAGATACTTAAGAAGAACAAAAGATTACATGCTTACTTATAGGAGATCAGACTATTTGGAGATCATTGGGTATTCTGACTCCGATTTTGCTGGATGCCAAGACAGCAGAAGATCCACATCAGGCTACATTTTTCTGTTAGGTGGTGGAGCTATATCCTGGAGGAGTGCAAAACAAACACTCATAGCTTCTTCATCAAATGGATGTTAAGACCGCATTTCTCAATGGAGACATTGATGAAACGATCTATATGTTGCAACCAGAAAACTTTGTGTCAGGAGATTCAAAGAATATGGTTTGCAAACTGACAAAATCTATTTATGGGCTCAAACAAGCTTCCCGTCAATGGTATCACAAATTTCATCAAGTGATTCTATCGTTTGGTTTTGAAATGAATGCAGTTGATGATTGTGTGTATCATAAATTTAGTGGGAGAAAGCATATTTTTCTGATTTTGTATGTGGACGACATACTGCTTGCCACAAATGATATAGGCATGTTGCACGAAACCAAAAGATTTCTATCAATTAATGAAAGATCTTGGTGATGCCTCATTTGTTTTAGGAATTCAGATTCACCGAGATCGTTCTCAGTGTATTCTTGGATTATCACAAAGAAGCTATATTGATAAAGTACTTAAAAGATTTGGCATGCAGAATTGTAGACCAATTGATACCCCTGTCGCTAAAGAAGACAAGTTCAGTCTCAATCAATGCCCAAAAGGCAACCTTGAGATTCAAGAAATGCAAAAGATTCCCTATTCTTCAGCTGTAGGGAGTCTAATGTATGCTCAAGTTTGTACACGGCCAGATATTGCGTACATTGTTGGAGTTTTAGGCAGATACTTAAGCAATCCAGGAATGGATCATTGGAAAGCAGCCAAAAGGGTTATGAGATACTTAAGAAGAACAAAAGATTACATGCTTACTTATAGGAGATCAGACTATTTGGAGATCACTGGGTATTCTGACTCCGATTTTGCTGGATGCCAAGACAGCAGAAGATCCACATCAGGCTACATTTTTCTGTTAGGTGGTGGAGCTATATCCTGGAGGAGTGCAAAACAAACACTCATAGCTTCATCCACCATGACAGCAGAGTACATAGCATGTTATGAGGCATCCAGCCATGGTATATGGCTGAGAAATTTTGTCACTGGGCTGCGCATTATGGAAGGAATTGAAAGACCACTCAAGTTGTTTTGTGACAATAAATCAGCTGTATTGTATTCCAATAACAACAGGAGCTCAACCAAGTCAAAGCATATTGACATCAAATTTCTTGTTGTGAAGGAAAGACTACAGAGTGGCCAGATGTACATAGAGCATTTAGGAACAAACTCCATGATTGCGGACCCCCTTACAAAGGCTCTGATACCCAGGGTCTTTCATGAGCATACTGCTCATATGGGTGTTATAGAGCTTGAGGGAATTTAGATTCAGTGGGAGTTTGTTAACTTGTGTTTTATAGTTTTATGTTTTATTTTGTGTACAAGATATATTTGGATATTTTCTGATCAGAAATGAGGTATTTTATTCAGTTCAGTGCACTCTGTACAGTTAAGGTTCGATCTCACTTAAGTAAAGTAGGACCAGTTGAAAATTGACATGGACAGACCACCTTGCATGTATTTTTCATTCCACACATTCATGATTGATCTATGTCATTTGATTATATTGATATATGTGACCATTGATGGGTTTAGTTGTGACGGATACAACGAAGACTGTTTTGATCCTGTATTGAAATAATTAATGGACGAGATTGTAATGTGTCTTCATAATGATGATGACAAAATTTTGGGCGCACTAAGGTTGACACATTTATCTTATACATATGTAGTCCAGGGGGAGATTGTTGGATTAATTTTGGGACTACAATGTAATTAATAGATGTGTTGGGTCATCATTAAATAAGTCAAAATTATTGTGGGCTAATTTAGAATTAAGTTTATGACTTTGGGCATATTTGTCATGATATTATAGTGTGGATACCATAAGTGCAAATTCTAATTTGATGAGGGGCAGAATTAGAATTAAGCAAAACTTTTTTGTAACCACCTGGTAGTTACTTTAAAGGGTGATGATCCCCAATTTGCAGAAAGACGCATCTCTTTTCTTGCACCCCATCAACAAGAAACTAAGAAAAATCTAAAAAATCTGCAGATTGGAAGATCATATCTTGTGCAATCGATCTAATAGATTCCGGTACGCTTCCGCTAATTTATGGTTTATTTCTCTCGAAATTGAATGTGAAATTTTTAGTTTTATCACAATGAAATAAAAGAAATCAAAATCTATGTAAATATAATGTGGCATTCATAAAACGTAAGAAAAAATCATGATAAGAATGAAAATAAAAAAAAGAAAAAAGATATGGCATTACATAGTGCAGTGAATGAAAGAATTATCAATAACAGATCTATTATTTTCAACCATTATTTTATATATTGAATTTAAATTATATTTTATGTGTCTTTAAGTATTTAAGCATAGTTATACACCAAAAGAGCTTTTAGAAGCATGTAATAAACTTTAGCGGATACAAGTAAATAGAACAAAATATTTTATTCTTCTTATAACATATGATTTACTAACAAGTCATTTAAAAGTTATACCAGATAATTTAGCTTATATTAAAGGCAGTAAAATATGGCATAATTTAAGTATATGCTGGTTTATTTTTAATAGCCTAAATTCCATTATCAAACTCAACAAATGACTCATAACATGAACCTAGCAAATGGGCTACTGACGGATTTCTTTAAATAAAGCAGTTAGTGATTTGGGCTTGAGAGAGAATGAAGCATAGGGTGAGTTGTTATGAGTCCATGAGTATAAAACCTAACAGCACACTTCAAGGCGAATAGTTTACTTTACGGTTCTTAAAAGAGCCAATAGATCGTAAGAATGTTGCCCCTAACAGGAACTTAGAAAGAGAAACCCTTTGAGTGAATGGAAACAGATCTCCAGTGCAGAATAAAACAAATGCGCAAAAAAAGACGGCATATAAGTAGTAAAGTAGCAATGACCTCATAGCTATTGGAATTCGATCCATCTCTAGATTCAACATCAGAAAAGCTCCTTTTGGGCATTGAATTAAGAGAACGTATAGAAGATAATGCCTTGTTCAAAAAAACCCTGCACGAGAGCACGCGCTGAATCAGCACAGAAAGCCACAATCAACCGACAGAAGTTACAGACGAAATATGGCATCATAACCTCGGTTTGCACACTAATGACATCTTTGCCGAGCCTTAATCAAATAAATAAAACTGAATGAGAAGAGCGATCACTTAGAGGGGCAGTTTAACCGTGAATGAGCCGCGGCAGTCCGGGCGGACACGGGTAGAAGGAAGAAATGTACTCGCACCGGAAGGTGCGTAGCCAATGAAACGGCAGTCCGGGCGGACACGGGTAGAAGGAAGAAATATTCCCTCTGTACTCGCGCCGGAAGGTGCGTAGCCAGTGCGCCACATGTAAATTACGGTCCCACTTCTCACTTTATTTTTCAAAATAAAATTAAAATAAATATTAAGCTTAAGTGGTCCGGCCCGAAGGATTACTCGAACCTTTTTTTACTTTTTTACCGAATCACATTTTAACTTCACAGTGTTACGAGATTTTAGGGCCAACTTTTTCCTCGGCGAAAATCTCCGGCACAACTCGGCGAAAATCTCCGGCGCAACGCAGCTTCCGGCGAAACCCTTCGGCAAAGCGGAGCTTCCGGCGTAAGCGAAGGTCATGGCGTCGTCTCGTTCCATAAAATCACGGTATGAACGTAAACCAGAGTCGGGAAATACGAGTAACACATCCGTAACACAACAATGCACTGTAGTAACACGTCAATAGCACCACACATCAGTAATATACCAGTAAAATATAAAAAACACAACAATAACACGGCAATACCACATGAATAACACATCATGAATTTCAATCATCAGCAGAGAAAAACCCTACTCGACAACTGCATAAAACCAAATTCTTTGGACTCACAGAAACCTCCATGACATAGTTTAGATGTGTTATTATTGTATTATT